CCTCAGGGCCCATTTCTCTTTCCAAAACTTCATTTGTTTCCTGTAAGTGTCCTTCTCCCACCTCCTTCCCCTATTAAGATACTGTATAAACCCCAAATTCTAACCCCCACTTTGAGTCACATTCTTCTGTGAACTCCTGCACATATGAAATTAAGTCATTCTCTTGTTACTTTGTCCTTTGTCAGTTTAATTTGCAGGCCCCCAGAAATTAAACGTAAGAGGATAGAGGAAATGGTTCCCTTGGGTGACAGTTTCAAACCATATTTTCATGCCAGAGAGATCATTCTGGCTCAATCTGGGATATGGCGTTTAGGGATGTAAGCGGTGAGTGGAGTACAAGCGACAAGAACAGACACAGGCTGGCAATGTGACAGACAACAGCCATTTCCCTCCTGCATCTGTTCACCTGGATAGGCCTTCCCCAAGTCTCTGTGACTCTGTCTGGACCAGTCAGAGCATTTCACCCTCTTGACCACAGTGACTGTTTCAGGGATGGATGCTGGAGCCATTTAAAGTCCATGAAGCATAATGAAACTTCTACCAAGTCTGCAGAGCAAGGCGAGTCCATTTTATATTGGACTTGACTCTGGGTGGATATAGAACTTGTGTTGCAGGCAGCTTTTATGTCACCATGTGGAGTCCGAAAACAAGGGTAATGCAGAAGAGAGCAGGTCTATGAGGGATAGGTGCCAAGGTTCGGTGCCTGGATCAAGTCATACCTGACAACCCTTCAGGACATTTAATCAGCTAATACATTTCACATCTTGATTAAGCTCAAGTTGAAGTTGGAGTTTCTGCCATTTGGCAAAAAGAAAAAATACAAGAAAAATATTCATATCTACAGAAGGCATGTATAGTACTCTAGGCAAGAAGGAATCATGAGATTTTAATTTGGACAGTATCTTGTCATATCACTTCTCTCAGGTCTCAGTTTCCTTATCCGTAAAACGGATTTGGTTCAATAACTTTTATGGTGTCCCCCTAACACTGTGTGCAACGCTGAGTTTAATGCAGATCTGTTTGCTGCGGCCACACAAGCTGAAAATGTCTCTTGCCGCCCAGCTGCACTTTGCTCCAGTTTTCTTGATTTATCCTTGAGCAGAGAACTTAATTTTAGCTGAGATCCAGTACAGAGATTCATAGCTAAAGGGAAACTTTCAAATGGCTTCCCCATCATCCTCATTTCTGTAGAAGTTCAGGCGAACTCTGTGTTGGCTATACACCCTCTTCCCTTCACAGCAAGGAAGATTGCTCCATGAAAAATTCATTAGTGCTTTGGGTCTCCAGTGCTCAGCGCTCCTGCCCCAAAGGGTTCATAAGTCCCACTGAAAAGACAGTGAATTTAATCTGCACAGAAGCATGCATCTGAATACTCAATCTTGCCAAGACAGGAGGTAGGACGTGCATTTGCTTCTTTGTGACATTCTGCATAGCATTACCTGTCTTTTTCCTTTTGTTTGCAGCCATAAGAACACAGAAAGTTTATTAACAGATGGTGCAAAATGTGACTCATTTGAATTATACGGCAACATTTGCAGAGTGGAATTTAAAGTCTCGCGCTTATGTTTTCATGCACAGTAATAATTCAGCGGGTTATAGCCCTAGTACATTTGGAAGCATGAAAAAAAAATCCTCTTCTTTATGATACAGGCTTGATGGAAACCCTCCTTATACCTGCTTAATGAAGTCATGCCTCATACTTTTCATACAACATGTTCCATTTGATTCAATTCCTCAAGCATTATTGAGCTGTGTGTTAGATGCCGGGAATATAAACATAAGAAAGATGTGATTCATGTCTTCATGAAGCTCACGATTTGGTAGCAGGGAGAGGCTAGTAGACACACTAGCAAGTGCGATGAAATGGCTCTGGGAACAAACGGGTTGCATAGACGGTGGAATGAAGGACTGCAAAACAGGAGGAGGGGAAGGAAATAATATCTGGGGTGGATTTAGAAAAAGGAGGTGGAATAAGTGGCTATGGCAAGGCTATGTTTCTCCAGGGAGAGAACAGCAGTGCAAAGTAACAGTAGCACAAAGCAGGTTGGCCCTTTGCCGATGAGGACGGGTTCACGGTGGCTACAGGGTCCTGGATAGCAACGGAGGCTGGAAGATTCAATGGGAGAGGCCCCGGATGGGATAGTCCAGATAAACACTTGACCTTTGGCAAATTGTGGAAGAAGTGGAAACTGGGAGTCCCAGGGCTATTTTGGGAGGTAGGACAGAAAAGACAGGGTGACTATTTAGTGGGGGTGGAGGTGGTGGAGTGGGTGGGGTCAAGAAGGCCTCCTGGTCTGACTTTGGTACCTGAGTGCCCTTGCACACTCACACAGGCACCTGCTTTTCTTGAGCGTGCTTTTATCGGCTTCTTCCCCCTCCCCCCTCCCACCGCCCCCCAGAGAATCTGGCATGGGGCTTCTTTCCCTGCAGAACTGGCTCATGGACTAAATTTACCTTTTAGGTAAAACATTCAGACATCCTCTTAACCTCACACCTAAACCAAGTTTTCTGGTTTTAGTAAAAATAGGTACACTTTGTATCTCCCTCTGCCTGATGCCTGCATCATGATCTCATTTTATCTGGATCTTGGGTAAGAAAGAGAAATGTGTTATTCATCAGCCCCTTCAAACACCAAAGCGTCAGTTCAGTTTTCCTTTTACATCCACACTTAGATTTCTCCTCATTAATTTACTTGAAGACTCAATCTGTTATTCAGGTAAAAGGAGGAGCTTTTCGATGCCTCCACGCCTCCGCCTTTGAATCAGGTCTCCTTTCTCGTTTCTATAGAGCTTCTTTGTCCAGGCTTTGATGGGACAGAGATCATAACTACATACAACCCCTGATTTGTAGACCCTGGTGTGTAATGAGCTGTTTGGCTGGGGTTTTCAATCCCTCAGCCAACCATATCATAAATGTCTATTTAGAGGGGTTCTAAAGAGGCTTTTGTCAATTTTACACAATGAATACAGTTTGGCCATTGTGGCGGACATCACAGTAAAATCTTCCAGTTTATTCCATTATTGTTTTTAAAGGATTAAAATGATTTTCTACCTGGTTGAAATGACTTCTTGGAGATTTCTAGGGGAATCCAGTTGATTATTTCTTGGAACTGATGATAAGCCTGCTAAGGTTCATGATCACTCAATACTTGTTAGAGCAACTTAAAAAAACAACTTTCCAATGGTGCCAAATTAATGCAGCTCTAGTCTACTCTGGCAAATGACCCACAGAGCCCTGCCAACAGAATTTTATTGATTTAGACTTCTTTTTCTGTTTCTTACTCTATGTACTTTAACTGCAAAATTCAGAAATTTTATAATTACAAGTTGATTTTTACTGAGTCCCCAAGAGCAGGGGATTAAGTGAATAGTTATGAAGTTTCCAACACGCACCTTATTCTTATCTTGAAATACATTATCTCATTCAATTCCCTTTCCCTCTTTTAAAGAAAGGAAACCAAGGCTCTAAGAGGTTGGGTGAGTTACCTGATATAACACAGCTAAAAAGTTATTAAATAGCTGCTTGAAATCAGGACCTCAAAACCCATGTGTTTGGTTTTTTTCCAAGTAATAAAATACCTACCCCATAGGAATTTTTTCTCATTTAAAATCTGAAATTTTATCAATGCAATGATGAGTTTGAATTCTTATGATGACTCCATTGTCACCTTTGTGGTTTCTGAAGCTAGACGTGGACAAATTTATTAAGGAACAGCTTTTTTTTATGGGAGAAATCCACATATTGAAGAAATGTAACAAGAGGCAAATCACATTCACTGATAACTATGGGATAAAAAAACTGTTCATCCCATAGTTAAGAAAAAACGTCTTTCTGTCAATTCAGGAAAAAATACTTCTTTTGTATCCAAAACCAGGAATAATGCTCTCATTATAATGAATCAGTTTATGGAGTTTGAGGTCCACCAGAGATATGAGCACAATATTTTCTGTGTGTCTGCTCAGGGAAGGAGAATTTAATCATTGCACTTTGGCTGATAGTGATTATGAAATTTTGTGGCATTGTTCTATTTCAATAATAATAATGATTCCCTTGAACATATATTCTGATGTTCAGTTAACAAAATATAGGTCTATTTGATTTATTTGATCCTCACAACAGTGCCAGCAGGAATTAACATCCCAATTTTAGCAGAAGTGAAATTGAGGGTCCTCGAGGTCAAATGCCATGTTTGAGCCACACAATTAGGTTAAATGATGACACTGAGAATGGTGGGTAGGACTTTGACTCCTGGGCTCTCTCTACTATCACATACTGCTTCCAGAAAGTCGGCTTTCCAACTTGTTGGATTATTTAAAGGACATGGACTCTGTTTAATTATTTCAGAGTCCCAGAATGTTTAGGGCTTCTGAAAATGCTGGATAAATGTCTTCCCTTTTCCCAACCCTAGTTCTAGACAAACTGATAGGAAAAAATGTCTTGGTGGATAGAGCACCAAGTTGTGCCCTTCCTACTATGAGGGCAGAGTTGGACGACAGCTTGGAGTGAGAGCCTAATGAGCCTACTCTAGGAGGCTCCTACTCTGGGAGTGAGCTAATTACCCATGGATTACAGGTGGCTCTGAATGGGGGCAGACAGTCCCAGGCTAAGGAGAGCCTGCCCTTCGAGGAGGAGGAGCAGCAGAACGTGGTGTCAGACAGCTTACTTGCAAAGAGAGGAAAAAGGCATGTGAGCTGATCATGTCAGGTTACGTTTCCCAAATTTACTAATTCTTTGTCTTCTCCAGGGGAGAGTAATTAAAAGGATGAGTGCATTAAAATCAATGGGGATTCATGTCTTTGCAAGAAATACCAGGTTTGGAAAGAAAGAAATAAGCCTGACATGCCTGTATGTCATCCATCCATCCCTCCATCCATCCTTCCTTCCCTCTATCCATCCCTCCATCCCTCTCTCCATCCCTCCCTCTGTCCATTCATCCATCCACCCATCCATCCATCCATCCATCCATCCATCCATCCATCCATCCAATACTTATTCAGCACCTCCTCTGTGCCAGGCACTGCTGTCACACAGGCGAACACTTCCGTGACATTCTTTGACTTCATGAACATTAATTTTCAGTCCAGATTAGGATGGCTATAATCAAAAGAACAAAATACAATATGGGTTGGTGAAAATATGAAAAAACTCTAACCCTTGTACATTGTTGATGGGAATATAAAAAGATGCCACCTCCAAGGAAAGCAGTTTAGAGGCCCCTCAAAAAAATTAAATAGAGAATTGCCTTAGGACCCAGCACCCCCACCACTGGGTATACATATGAAATATGTATACAAATGAAATAAGTATATTGAAGAGGTATCTGCACTCCCATGATCATAGCAATATTATACACAATAGTCAAGATAGGGAAAGAACCTAAACCTCCACTGATGAGTGAATGGATAAATAAAATATTGTATATCCATACAAATGAATATTATTTGGCTTTAAGACAGAAGGAAACCTTCCCATATGAAACAACATGGGTGTTCCTGGAAGACATTATGCCAAGTAAGATGAACCCAGTTCCAGGAAAAATATTGCATGATCTTCCTTATATGAAGTATCTAAAGTAGCCAAAAATCATAGGAGCAAAGAGTATATCGGTCGTTACCAAGGGCTGGGAAGAGAGGAAATGGACATTTGTCCAATGGGTATAAAGTTTCAGTTATGCAAGATGAATCTTTCGGAGGTAGTAGGTATGCTTATGGCTTCATGGACATAGGCAGATGTTCACGCCCATCAAACTGTGTACATTAAATTTGTATAGTTCTTTTGTATAGCAGCTACACCTCAGTAAAGCTGTTAAAAATAATATAAACAAGTAAACAGTCAATCAGATGAGTTCTTCAAATAATAAAGGCTACCAAGTAAATCATCCATGGTACCATGATAGTGAGTGACTGGAGAGGTGTCTGCTTCATCACTTTCCTCTTGTCCTCAATGTCAGGTGCACAGAGAGCAGAACTGGACCTGTATGGCTATGCTTCCTTGTTTAAATCACTTAGCTTCTCTTGGCTCTGATTTTGCCTGGGCTTAGCCACCTTCCTGCACAACATCCTACATTAGGTTCACCTTGGTCCCCAGGGGCCAAGACTATAAAACTCACAGATCCTCAGCCTCCTTGTGTCTCCATCTGCCTCACAAGACTGTCTAAAAACTATGGCCCCCAGATCTGAATTCTTGACAAGTCTCCGGCTAACACAGATGATTCTTGGATTACATGTGGTACCAAATTGCTCCAGGGACATAAGTAGCTCCAGCCCCAACTGGGCATCAAGCCTCTTACTAAAAGTCTCACCTCTTCATAGTTTGCTATTTGTTAAAATCCTGGTTCGGCAGCTGTGTAGCTTTGGGCACGTTGTGCAGATTTTCTTTGCCTCCGTCACCACATCTGCAAGATGAGAAAAAATAGCTCCTATTTCTCGGGATTGGTTTATCTATTAAAAGAGATGATATCCATGAAAGAGCATAGCTAAATGACTGGATTCTAGCAGGTGCTCCTAAATCTGTGATGAATCGAATAAGTGGAAATGAATGAATATATAGGACTGTGGCACATTCTCAAAACTTAGTCCAACTTTTTCATTCTTTGTTCCTTTTAGGAGAGCCTTCTTTCCTTTTCATGTCTGAACTTCTTCCTTAGTAACAGCCTATTACTCCAAAGCCCCAGGACAAAGTCCTCATCCTTTTTTTTTTTTTTTTTTATTTTTTTCTACCTCCTGGGCCAGGGTCCTCATTCTGATCTCACATTCATTGCCAGTTCTGTTATCTGCTTACAGACTTCCATACACCAAGTCCAATTGAGCATTCAGGGTACCAATCTCCCACTTGTTCAACATTGGCATTATTTTTAGGGGAAGAGCATCTTAGGAAAACCTATGCCCATTTTCATGATTTACACACTACAGTTTGAAAATTCTATGTTCACCACTGTGCTCTATACACCATGAGGGCTGGTTCTCCATACTCAGCACTGATGTGGCTCAGAAATATAGCGGTGGCACCCACGGCCACACCAGCTGCCAGGACATCTGCCTTCACTCTGTACATGGCTAAGGTGTTTGATCTGGGAGATAATGCAGAGCAGAAAGCATTTGCCTAGTCTGCCATGAAAATGGGTTTGAAAGTGACAAGAAAATGTCCGCTGGTGCCACAACAGATAGAAAGAGTAAGAAATGCTCTAGAAGATCAGAGAGGGGGGTGGGGGGAGGGAGGGAGGGAGAGGGGAGCTAAGACACCTGTGTTATGAGAGACGAGGTTTTAAGAAAGGTGCTTTTTAGAAGAAAAACAACAAAGTCCCTTTAACAAGAATGTTTCCTCATCTAGATCATGACCTTTTAACTTACTAACTGTGCCTTTTATGCTTCATCTTTATCTTTTATTATTCACCATCTATGTATCATGGGATGGGGGATTTATACTGGTTCACAGAGTAGACTCCAAGGGAAGAATATGGGCCAATTCCAGGGCGAACTTGAGCAAGCTACCTGTTCTGAGCCAATGTCAATAACTCCTTTTTTTTTTTAATGTTGTTTTTTTTTTTGTGTGTGTGTGTGTGAAAGAGAGAGAGAGACAGCATGAGTAGGGGAGGGTCAAAGAGAGAGAGAGATACAGAATCTGAAGCAGGCTCCAGGCTCTGAGCTAGCTGTCAGCACAGAGCCTGATGCGGGGCTTGAACCCATGAATCATGAGATCATGACCTGAGGCAAAGTCGGACACTTAACCGACTGAGCCACCCAGGTGCTCTCATTATCTCCTTTTTAAGTGGGAAGAAAACTATACAGGACTTTTGGCTTTTAAAGGAGGAGATGTATATAAAGACATAAAGTACTTAACAGAGTGGCTTGTCTGGGGTGAGCACTCATTATGTGTTTGCCTCCATCATTGTCACTTGCTCTGCAGTCATGTTGGGCTGTACCCTCTGCTTGAGACCTTCTTGAGGGAGTGGGAAGTGACCAGCTCCTAGACCAAATAATGCAGGATTCAAGCCTTTGTTCCTTAGGTGTCTGGTGATATGTCCTATATCAGAAAACTCCTTCTAGACTGTCTAACCTAACAGAGCACTCTTCACCTCCCATGGCCACTCTTTGCCCTGTGCCTTAATTGGTTTTTCTTCATAATGTCTATCACTGCTGGTCACACTATGTATTAGTTTTGAATTGTACCCCATTTTCTCACCCATCCATGAAATTGTAACTTTCACGAGGGCAGGGTTTTGTTTTGATCACTGCTCCAATCCCAAGGGCCTGACTCACAGTGAGCACTTAAAGACTATTTGGTGAATGAATGCAAGAATAATCAGCACATCAGGAAGAGACACACAAAATGTGAAGACTACTGATCATAAGGATGTTTAATAGTAAAGTGAAATTGGAAGCAACGTGCGGAAGGGGTGTAAAGAACTCTGTTTTTTCCCTGCCGACATTCAATATCTGATATTTTGAATAGCTTTGGGGGATCTATCTTATTGTTAAAAAGCATCAGTTATTTCCCATTTGTCAGAGACAAGAACAATCTTCACAGATAGGCACTATTTAAGTAAGCTCAGTAGGCAGAAGACCTTCTCAATTAAGTGCTCAGGTGCCAACATCAGATTAGCATCTTTTAAATCTACTTTAACAATTTACCAGTTTGGGGACCTTGATTCTGGTGTTCTCATCTGAAAAAAATAATGAAAATCAATATTTATTCCATAGGGGTTTTTGTAAAGATAAGGAGATGATGTATGAAAGCATTTGGTTCAATGTCTGGCAGATGGTCAGAACTCAGTAAATCTTAGTTGATATTAATATTGTCTCCAAAGCATCAAATCATATGCCTTGGTCATGGTGTAACCATCGAAGGTCACAGTAAGCCAAGTCTTCTCACCAGAGAGCCATGTGGACTTCTCCTCCTACCATTCAACTATAAGATACACATCTCCTTTTTTAAATTTACCTATTTATTTTGAAAGAGAGAGAGAGAAAGTGAGAGAGTGAGTTTGAGTAGAAGAGGAACAGAGAAAGAATCCCAAACAGGTTCGATGTTGTCAGTGCAGATCCTGATGCAGGACTCGATTCCATGATCCATGAGATCATGACCTGGGCTGAAATCAAGAGAGGGATGCTCAATCGACTGACCCATCCACACACCCTAACATCTCTTTCATATTATAGTGGATTTCATAATTACTAACAGCCAGGCAACAGTCATGCCTTAGATTTTATAGCCTCTGAATGTGCATCAAAACTTTCAGAAGGGACATCAACAGCTTGGAAGCAAATTCTAGAAGCGACAATTAAATATCTTCAGAGAAATGCTATAATTCCAATGCCATAGTATCATCCTCTGATGATGATATTGTGCCAAAGCATGGGGAGGGAGATGATTTCAATATCTTATAAGGTCCAAATGTGATTTAGAAAAATCAGATAATGTGAAGAAATTTTAGGAGAAATTTAATCAATGTATTTCACTTTCTTTTTATGTATGCACATACATGATATTGTAGAAAATAGAAAATAGAAAAATCTATATCTTGTAAGTAGAAAACAATCTTCCAATAAAAACAGAATAAAATTTCAAATGGTAAGAAAACATTGTAGTATCATTTAATTCGTGGCTTTTTCTTTGTTGGACATTTATAATTAATGTTGCGACTTACAATCGATCGTATTTTTAGATTCTTTAGACTTCATTGCATAGATGGTCATAAAAAGATGTATGGAGTTCATTGGAGAATATATTACAATGTTATACTGAAAATATTTAGAGACAATTTATCTTTCAGAAAGCCTGACTCCTATGATATGATGGATGTAAGTGATCAGTCAGATCTCCAAAGATTACTCCCACATAATACACTTATCTCTGTGTAATTCCAGGATCCTTCAGCTCAGAGTTGTGGGAGAGATGGATTTTGAAACTAATAACAAATATGTGTTTTTGAATGAGAAATCAAGTTAAGTGAATACAAGCTCAAATATAAAGTAAATCATGGTTTGTCTCTAGTCTGGACACTTGACTCAAGAGTAGACCATGACTCCCTGCAGCATGGACTGACTATCTTTTTAAAAAAGATTCCATGACTGACCTCTCTCAATCTATCCAACCCTGTCCCTAAACTTTCTTGACTATATGTCTTCTCTAGGGTAATTTAACTCCCACACCTGGCTATATTCAAGAGTGAAATGGGGAGTCATTAAAACTGAGGAGCTATTAAAAATTAAAAAGCAAGGATGGGAGCTATTAAAGCTGTTGAAATGTACTTATTGTTGGGACAGTCAGTAAAAAATAGAAATCAGCGAAGGAAAACAGGACATATATATGCTGTTTATTTGCTCCAATTGGAACAATTTCTTCAGTGAGCTACACAAACATCATATCCAGTTCCCTTTGGTACCTTTTCTTGGACCATGTTTCTTTTTTTTCCTCACTAGGTATTGATTTCTCACTTCATAATTTTGGGTATTCAAATATGACATTTGACCCCCAAATAAGAGTTTCCTTAAACAATCTTTCTCAGTGGGATATTTCCACATAGCATTATCCAATTAAGGACTGGGGGTGAGGAGGGGTAGAAGATGAAGAAGAAAGCAGCTTTTTCCGCTGGTTTCACTCCAGGATGTTATTTTATCTCATTTCTTTTCACAGAAACTTTGTAAAATAATTTTCTAATTCTAATTTCAGGGATTCAGTCACCAACGTTAACACAGGTCATAGTGGCTGGACTGGGATTCAAACTATGGAATGTCTTGACTCCAAATTCAAATACCTTTCCAGTACTGCCCTTCTTCAACAATGTGTTTTTGTCATTTTATTTTACTATGCTTTGTCTCTACAACTAGACTATAAACATTTGAGATACAACTACTGTTTTAAAAATCTCCCACAATATTTATCCTAATGGGGAAGACACAGGAGATAGGTACATAATTTACGTCATTGTGAATTGAAGTATAAATTAAAGTACGATTATAGTAATTTCCACAGTTCATCTACATTAGGAGAAGGATTAAAAATAAACAAATTGGGTGATTATTTCCATAATGTCATCCCTTGGGTGGAGGATCATTTCTCTGTAAAATGCCTTTATTTTCATTATCCTACATGATTTTCACAATTAGGAGGTACTATTATCCTCATTTGACAAATAAAAAAACTAAAGCTCAGAAAAGCTAACTGGTATAATGAGACACTGTGGAATAATGGAAACGGGACAGATTTTCAAGAAGAAATATTAATCATCAAGCATTGCTTTGGATACTGGTATTCTCTAAAGCTCTGAAATGCAGAATCATGCAAAATGGCATTTTTAAAGAAAAATGTCAACTGCCATAAAAATAAAATTTAAAGTTTAGCTGTGATTTTTATATAACCCTAGAGCTTTTTATCAAGTTTTTTTCTGAAGGAACTCAGTCGTGAGTTTTAACAAACCAGTTTCTACTATGAAATAAGTATGAGCAGATTTTGTTTATCAAACACTTGCTAATAAATCCACTGATAATGATCTGTTGCTTTAAACATAATATATTATTAGAAAATAAAAATAACATTTCACATAGTCCCAATGCTTGGAAATCCCACAGAATGATATATTTTATCAAAATTTATTTTGGAATATCAATAAAATACAGAATAACAAGAGGTTATAAGTAATGACCAACATCTTATAACTTATTATGAGGCATGTGTGTCTGAACTTTGGGGAAATGAACATAAAGTGTCATTAAAAGGAAAATAGAAAAATATGAACATACCTAAGTGTAGAAGGATTTCACTTTCAGTTCCACACGTAAGAATCTTGGAGGTCATTACTCTGTCCTAACAAATAAAGAGCTAAACAAACTGAAAACAAACTGCTCTTGTGGGATCTGTGGGAGAAGCATCTGTCTGTAGAGGATGTGGAGTGAACTCTACTGCTCCCGAGATTAGAGAGCCCACAGGTGAGCAGAGAGATTAACAGCTTAGCAGAGCACAGACTCACAGGCAGAAACTGAATCGACACAAAACCTACAGCTGATGTCATAATTAATGGTGAGGCACTTAAATCTCTCCCACTGGGATCTGTTTCAAGGCAAGGTTATCCAATCTCACCACTCCTTTCCAACATCATACTGGAATTCTTTGCTAATACGAGAGGGCAAATACATACATACATACATAGTATATAGTTGTGAAGATACAAAGCTGTTACTGTTCACAGATAACATGATCATCTATGTAGACAATCCAAAAAGTTTGACCAAAAAAATCTCTTGGAACTAATAAACAATGATGGCAAGGTAGCAGTATACAAGGTTAATAAACAAAAGTCAATTGCTTTCCTGCATACTGGTGATGAATGAGTGGAATTTGAAATTAAAAACACGATATGATTTATGTTAACATCCTCAAAAATGAAATACTTAGGTGTATATCTAACAAAATATGTACAGTATCTATAGGAGGAAGACTATAATACTCTGAGGAAAAAAATAAAAACACTAAACTTATGGAGACATATACCAGACGTGGATAAGGAGACTCACTATTGTCAAGATGTCAGTTCTTCCCAATTTGATCTGTGCAATTCCAATCAAAGTCCCAGCAAGTTATTTTTTGGATATAGACAAATGATCCTAAAGTTTATGTGGAGGGGCAGAAATCTAGAATGACCAATACAATATTGAAGAAAAACAAAGTTGGAAGACTAATGCTACCTAAATTTCAGAGTTACTATAAATGTATGGTTACCAAGAGAGTGTGGTATTGGTGAAAGAATGGACAAATAGATCAGAAGCCAATTTCTTAAAAACAAACAAACAAACATACTCTTATCCTGTCACCAAATAATAACACATTTTGGTGTCTGCCTAAATATTTTGAAAAATGATATCCACACAAACATATGTACAGGATATTTATAGCAGTTTTATTCATAATTGCCAAAGCTTGGAATCAACCAAAATATTCTTTGATAAGTGAATAAATAAATAATCTTTGATACATCTAGACAATGGACTATTATTCACTGCTAGAAAGAAATGAGCTGTCAGGTGATAAAAACACATGGAGGAAACTTAAGTGCACATTACTATGTAAGGAAAGAAGCCAATCTGAAAAGCCTACATACTATATGATTCCAACTGTAGGACACAGAGTAGAAAGATCAGCAGTCACCAGGGATTGGTGAAGGAGGAATGAATAGTTACAGCACAGAGGATTGTTAGAGCAAGGAAAATATGCTGTTACACTATGACGATGGAAACATGGCATTATAAATTTGCCAAAATGCATATAATGTACACCATCAAGGAAGAACCCTAATGTAAGCTATACACTTTGGCTGATTATGTTTTGTCAATGTATGTTCCTCAATTATAAAAACATGTTCCACTGTGGTAGGGAATGCTGATAATGGGGGGGGGCTATCCATATGTGGGTGTAAGAGATAAATAGGAAATCTCTGTACCTTTCTCTCAATTTTGCTGTGAACCTAAAATTGCTCTAAAAATAATGTCTTTAAGAAGATTTGGAGAAAAGAGTTTTGAGAAGAGCCAAAGGATGACCCCACAGAGACCTAAGTTAATGACATGTCAACACCAACCATCTGGAGCAGGGCAGACTATAAGAGAGAACCTATAAATAAACAGTGGGAACACCTGGGAGCTGTGAGATGGGGCACAGAAAGGGGTGGCAGAACCACAGGCATGGGAAAGTGACTATAGTGTCTGTGGGTCCCAAGTTCTCACAGTCATGGCTCTTGCTCCATGCAGGTGGCTTATTCACCAGTGCTGTTTTGACCTTACCTTGGAAAAGTCCACTATTTGCTTCTAAGACTGCAATTGCCATCAGAAGTCAGGATGCTGTGATGGCAGAATACCAGGTGCCAGCCAGATGGAAGAAGTATGGTTTCTAGCACCTGCAGTGTATCCCTGACTGAGGAAAAGTTCCCTTTGGCATGCCCTTGATCTTTCCCAGAGCTACATCTATACTCTATAGTCTTTTAATTTACAGGATCTTAAGTGTGAGGATAATTTCTTGTTGTCAATAAATGTAAAGGTACTTCCCACTGATCTTACCAAGATCAGTCTGATCATGTCTGATCCTACCACACCCATGTCTGATCTTACCAAGTAATGATCTTGTTTAATTTCTACTTTGAAGAAAAAGCAAGCACTATGAACTCCATAGCTGGAGTCTCTTTGATTTAACTTCTGAGCAGATTTTTATATATGTTGTCCCATAACTACCCCCACCTCACCCTCAGGCATACTCTGATACTATGTATGTGAATGTTGGTGTTACTCTGATGTACTTTGTGAAAGCCCTTATGGTAAGGTTGGAGTCTGCTGAAGGGCACTAAATTTTCACCACTAATCACTTGAAGAAAGTCAGGTTCTTAATAAAGTAAAACCAGAACTCAGAAGATAAATCCTGGTGGGTGATATGGGAAATGGGATTACCTTCTTTCCCTTGTTTTCAAATCTTGAGTCTACACTAAAGTCCAGAGTTAATTCTGGAGGTGAAATCTTGGATAAAGATAGTCAGGTGGGTTCTTTCTCTAGTGGCAGGTTGGGAACAAGGAAATGACAGTAACCAAGAATACCCAAGATTGCATCTTTCTCTCAGATCCTAACGAACTAGCTTCCCTTGTTTCCTATTTACTGCCTTATTATTATCTGCTGAAACACAAAGAACATTTGGCCTGCTTGCTAGAATTTTGTCTCAGTTAAGACTCAAAGCATAACATTGAAGATTTAAGTCAAAAATTAACATGAAAATACCCCTTTCCCTCTATTCCCACTTTTTAATTTCAGAGATCAAATAGTCATGATGGCAGGAGATCTCACTGAGGCATCACCACAGGGGCTACAGGTGAATAGGTGTCTCTCACCAACTGGAGAAATTTCTTGTAGCATGAATCCTGAAAGATCTGGATTTTCTTTTCCTTGAGAAAGATCTCATTTTCCTTTCCCTAAATTACAAAATGTCTTGAAGGACTGAAGCTTATTGATATCTCTTTATTGTTTTGGTTAAATCTAAAATGCATACTGGTCTTTATGGGGCAATGAAGAGTGACAAAACAACGAAAAAATTAAAAATCACAAATTTTTACTTAGATCTCAGTTATAACATTGCCAATTAGAGGTGTCTAAAGAATGCAAGAATTTATATTTTCTGATGCTGGCTTCTGATGTTTGTGTGTGCGTGCGTGTGTGTGTGTGTGTGTGTGTGTGCATGCTTATGTAAGTTCTCTATAATTGGAGCCATTGCACAGATGCAATTTTGCATTCTTGCTTTTGACATACAATTAAGAGTCTCCATTATGGTGTATTGTTTCTATACTTTCTCTTCTTAAAGTCTTAATCTTAATCCCTCTAATTTACAACAAATAAACACACAGATTAGCATTATAAATGTTTGTCTTCAGCTCATTTGTTTTCTTCTTGTATACATTTTTAATCCTCAGGAAATAGGATCAAAATGACATCTGAGAGACTTTTGCAAAAAGGGCCTTTAATTGTTCACAAGGGAAATGATGTTCAGCAAACTGAAATGACATGGGAGCTACAGAACATACTAGTGCTGAAAAGAGAAGAGAAGCCACCTTGGTCTGGAAACCTCTTGTCTAGAAACCTGAGGCTGGTGAGGGAAAAGATATCAGGAAAAATGACTTTCTCCTTTGTCTAGAGAGAAGAAGAAAACATAGTTTGCTCCTCAGGCTCCCTGGGAAGCAGCAGACTGGTATTGCCCAGTGTGGCATGTCATACACAGCCTAATATATAGGATGACCTCAAAAGACTCATTTCAATAATTACACATTTATTTTCAAGGGCATCAGAAAAACTTATTACCAATATCTTAAACATATATGATTTGGGGGACACATTTTTTTAATTTAAAAATTTTTTTTAATATTTTATTTATTTTTTGAGAGAGAGATAAAGACTGCGTGAGCAGGGGAGGATCAGAGAGAGAGTGAGACACAGAATCTGAAGCAGACTCAGCACAGAGCCCGACGCGGGGCTCAAACCCACGAACCATGAGATCGTGACCGAAGCCGAAGTCGGACGGTTAACCGACTGAGCCACCCAGGCACCCCTGGGGACACTTTTGTTTAACACAATACTAATTTTGAGAAATGAGGGGATTTAAAATGAACTTAAAGAAAAATATCCACCATTGCTCTGTTGGTACGTTGATGTGGTAAAAACAAAAATGGTGCCATGTGAATGAGTCGAGACCAGAAACAATGGCTATAAAGGAGTCAGAAAATCATAGTTGAGTTTCAGCTCTATTGCTGACTGGCTGCACTGATTGCCTCTTGATTGTGTTATCATTATGACATAAGGAATTTTGTTAGATGACCACTAAGCTTCTCTGTACCCCTGTGATTAAGAGAAAAAATGAAAGTCATTATGGATTTAAAAAAACATAGAAGCTTTATTTCTTGAAAAGCAAATATCCGAATGTGGTCTTCATTATCATGCTCTTCATCAGAATACTTGATTAGTTAGATCCCTTTCTTTTTTGTCAGTTAACTTCTGACACACTGGATATGACAGAATCTTTAATTTCACAGGATAATATTTCCTGAAAGGATAATATGTCTGGGCTTACCTCATTCCCAAGCATAGTGCACCATATAATAAAATTGTTAAGAAATAGTCAGAGGAGGAAACCTAAAGCATCAGAGACAAAAGACATTACTTAGAGGGGGACAAAATTAAGAAATTCATTGTCAGTCAACAATGCAACTCAGCAGATGATGGAAGTGTCTGATATTTCTAAAGTGATAGAATACAAACAAAAACAAAATTATCATCCTAGAATTCCATGTACAGCTAAAGCATCCTTCAAGACTAAAGGCTAAATATAAACATTTACAATAAAAGGCTTAAAGATTTTGTCACTAGCAGACCTTCCCTGCAAGAAACATTGAAGTTCCTTAAGCTGAAGGAAAATGAAATAGGATGAAAA